TTATTATTATTATTAATTTCTTTCCATTTTCCAGGATCATGGAGTTTTTGTCTCCGTTTCAGCGGGTGCTGCAGCCCGAGGAGATGTGGCTTTATAAGAACCCCTACGTGGAAGCGGATCACGTCCCCACAGTGCCCATGTTTGTGAGTTCAGGCGTTTCCTGCACTTCTCTCTTTTTCTTCTATCATCATAAACTGTCCTTTTAAACCCAAGCTGCTCACTGCAAGACGTGGACTGGGAGCACCTGTAGTTCGTAATGCACAGCACTGAGAGCACAACGTGTTACTGCAAACCAGACAACAGTCACAGTCCTTTTTTATCATCTTTTTAGGCTTTTCTGTCCAGGATTGTCTTCTGAATTTTAACTAAGTTCGTTAAAACTAGTGAGGACTCTTCATTATTGTTCGTGATCAATTTCACAGCAGGTTACCAGGCTCTCTCACGCTATCAGGGAAGGTTTTGCTTGAAAGCAAGTATTTTCAGCAAAGGTTTATTGTAATTTTATTGTGAAAATGGTTTTCCTGGGTCTCTAAATTCTGTGAAAAGGGTTTAATATAAAACTGTAAGTGCTGGATTTTAAGCAGACCACAGTGGGTTAAAGGGACCCTCTGTTCTTCTGAGGAAGGGGTGTTCTGGGGAGCTGTGGTGGCTCCTGGGCCGAGCAAACACCCGCTTTCTTAGCAAATAGCACTTGTGATTTTCTGCAGGAGGTGAGCAGGGGGTTTTTAAACATTACAGGACAAAACCTCAGTGTAGCAATAGCGTTTAGCAGTGTAAAGCAGGACGTTACACCAGACTTCAGGTGGTGTCAGGCTCTTTGAGAGCTTGTCAGACACACCGTGGACGTCCTGGGGTGAAATCCCACAGCGGCTGAGATGTTGTGATGGAGAACTGGTTTTACTCTGAATCAGCGGCTCCTGGATTTTTTGCTGACAAGCAGGATGGGTGCTGCTGACAAAGAGCTAATCCTTGTGCTTGCAGGGATGGGGCAGGTTGGGGTGCTGTGAACTGGAAAGGGGTATACGAGGGATCTGGAGGCAGGAGTGAGGTGCAGCCAACCAAAGCTGTGCTCTCGTGCCAGAGGTGCTGTTTGAGGGCTTGGGGATGTGCTGGGCTTTGTGTAGAGGAGGGAAAGCTCCACTGCTCTGCTGAGTGTGTGCTGAGTGGGTAAAGCACGGGAAGGAGCTGGGTGCAGAGAGGGGCTTTTTAGTCCATGGCATTATTTATGCTGCCTGGGGTTTTTTCCCATGGGCTTCTGTAGGTGAGGTGCTGCCATTGGGTGACAAACAGGAGGAACAGCCCCGCTCTAGGGAGGGCCAGGGTTTGCTGCAAGTACAGCTGGGGTTGTTTTTGCTCTCGGATGGAAATGTGGTTCTGTGCAGAGAGGACAGGTTGCTGCTTGGCTTTGGGGACTGAAGGTATATGGTCACCTTGAGCAGTTACTGTCGTGTTCTTGTGAGATGCTTAAAACTGCTTCGCTAACAGACACCTGACAATCTTCTTGTTTTGTGGCAGTTCATCGCCTTTCTGTGTCCCTTATTGCTCATTGTCCTGGCAAGGGTGTTCATGAATGCCGACCGAGAAGACACGCGGGAAGCCTGCCTTGGTGAGCTCCTCCTTATCCCAGAGAGCTGCGGACCCCCACGGAGTCTGCCACGGTGCTGTGGCCGTGAGCTGGGGGTCTCACAGATGAGTCCTTTGCTCTTGCTGGGGCACAAGTGTTGTGCCAGGGGTATCAAAGCCGAGCTGTGTGGCTCCAGCTGAAGTTTGAGCACTGCCCGGGCCTGAATGCGCCTCGAAGCTGCCTGTTCAGATGGAGACAATGCTGACCTGACCTCTCTGCTCTCTCCTAGCTGCCAGCCTTGCTCTCGCCCTCAACGGGGTTTTCACAAATGCCCTGAAGCTCATTGTGGGGAGGTAAGAAACTGGCTCTTTCCTATCTGTGCGGTGTGGGGAGGGGAGGCACATCTGTGCACTGGTGGAGCTACAATAGCAGGAGCAAGGGCCAGAAGTTGAAGTTGGACAAGCTCAGCCTGGAAAGAATGTGTTTTTTCTAGCTGTAAAGACAATTCAGTGTTAGAACAAACACTGGCAGGGACCTGCTGTCTCTGTACATCATCTGGATGGGCTTGCTCAGGCCTGTGCCAGGGAGGAGAGCTTTGGTACGTGTACATGGAGCAGATGGGATGGTTTCATCTCCCTGGGCCGCGTGGTCAGGGTGGCAAAAAGTTACCTGTGCCGAGCTGCAGCCTGAGAGGTTTGCTCCAGTGTGTCCACAGGTTGTGCAACCAGGGAGTGTTGAATTGTGTGGGAATTCATTTGCTCTGCTGGGCTGGATGGGGAGGATCAGCCCAGTGCTAATCCTCAGGGTCTAAACCAGTGCTGGGCTGGTGAGGCTGTGCTGCCACAGCCTGGCTCTCATCTGCTGAGCTCTGCCTGCCCGGGAGGAGCAGGGCTGGGTGCCACGCTGGGGTTTGCACTTCTCACCACCTTCCCTTTGCACAACGGGGGGAGCTGTGTGAGGTGGCAGGTGACTGCGTTGGGATGTGGGTGCTCCAGGGGAGGGCTGGGTGCTGGGATCACTGCACCCCCTGAGGGCTACGTGGCTTGTTCTCTGCCCTAGGCCACGGCCAGACTTCTTCTACCGATGCTTCCCGGACGGACGAGCCAACGTGGAGCTGGTGTGCACAGGGGACCCTGGCACAGTGACTGAGGGACGCAAAAGCTTCCCCAGTGGACACGCTTCCTGTAAGTTTTCCATGTCCCCTACTTGCTGCAGCCCCCAACAGTGACCTGTGGTGAGGAGAAGCCTGTGGGGAGGGCAGCTTGGGTTTGCTTTCATGCACCCTGTGGCTTTGGCTACATTAATTGGCCTTTTTAGGGGCCTCGACTTTCCCTCTAAAGTAGTGGGGTGAAAGATGTCCTCTGAAGCTGGCTGTAGCTCCTGGGAGGAGTGATGCTTGCTGAGTACCAGCTTCTACGGCTCCTCCATCGCTCATGAGCTGGGCTTTCCTTGGGCAGGACAGACATCCTCTTTCAGCCCTTCCACTGCAGCAGGGGAGAGGGTGAAGGTCTGGCTGAGGGTTCACAGTGGAGCTGTTTCTGAAGCAGCACCCTTCTCTTGCAGTTGCCTTTGCTGGTCTTGCCTTCTCTGCCTTCTACATCGCTGGGAAGCTGCGCTGCTTCTCTCCCGGCCGTGGAGGGAGGGCTCTGCGGCTCTGTGCCTTCCTCCTCTTCCCTCATCGCCGTGTCCCGCACCTGTGACTACAAGCACCACTGGCAAGGTGGGTCGGTGTCTGTGGGCAGACCTGGACAGGGACACTGTGAGCACAGGGTGGGTCTGCGTTGCCACGAAGATGTTCAGAGCCTACGATGGCAACTTGGGTTTTTTAATTACTTCTCCAGTGATAATTTTTTTGCTTCCTGTAAGGTGATGATGCCTTTCTCTTTGTTTTTTGAAATATATGCCAGGCTTAGTTTTATAGCTTTTCAGCAGGCTGCAGAGCTGCCTGCTGGAGAATTCAATCATGAAGCTTGGGAGGGAAGTTAACTCTCCTCTTGTCTTGCCCACAGATGTGTTGGTTGGCTCAGCGATCGGCTTCACGCTTGCGTACCTCTGCTACAGGCAGTATTACCCTCCTCTGATGGACTCCATGTGCCACAAACCATTTCTGTACAAATCCAGACAACTCCCAGCACACCAAGACAAGCCTGCAGCTTCCAGCTTCCACCTGGACTTATAGTGACGGGCTCTGTCCTGCCGGCACCTTTCCTGCTGCTCCTTGAACGCGAGGGCAGGGAAAGGTTTTGGGGAGGTTGGTCATGAGAAGTGTCTCAAATGAGGATGAACCTGAAACCCAAGCAGGTGTGCTCTGCAGTGCTGGTAAGTTGTCCTGCTCAGGGGCCTGTGTTGCTTCGTTTAACCCAATTTTGTGGGCATCCTTCCCTTCGGGAGGGTGTGCAAGCCTGCAGGAGGACAGCCAGGGTACCAAAGGTCCTGAAGCAAGAACTGGAAAAATGTGACAATCTGGTGAGCCCCAGCCAGTGAATGTTCTTGTGTCCTGTCCAGAAAGCACCGTCAGTCATCTCCCTTCAATCCAGCCGAGCTGTCCCACCCCTTCTCGTGGGAAATGTGTCAAAATGAAGCACAGGTCCTGCTCCTGGCACCGGGTTTAAGTCTGTCTTTTCAATCACAGCTGAGCTAATTTGGAATAATGAGGTTGCAGTCTCTAATTGTGGATTAAGTGGGGGAGAGGGAAGATGAAACTAGCATGATGGTTATTTGTATTACTGTGATAGCTCTGATTTTTTTCTAATGTGACTAATAAAGGAGTTTAATTTTTTAAATGAGCTGTGGCACTAAGAACTTTACTTCAAGGACTGGGTTTATTGCTGTATAAGCCATTTCCTTTGGTGTGTCTGCAGCGGTTTCTAGCTGGGTGTTTATTTTATATCTCTTTCCTTGCAGCTTTAATATGGTTGTAAAGAGATGACAATCAGCAGAACACGCAGTGGTGTCTGAAAGCATCCCTTCCGAGGTGCTTGTGCCCCTACTCTGCAGTTTGTGTTCTCAGGCAATGGAAGGGTAGAGTGCTGCTGGGAAACCCGAGGCACAGCTGTATGGCAGGACTGTTGTAAGTAGTTGTTTGTCACTAGTCTCCTCCACAGATAATGTGTATTTTTGATCAAGTTGTATGTACACACAGACAGCAAAGGGGAGGCTGTAGCAGAGCGAGGCACATGTGCCTCTGCCAAGCTCAGGACGTCACAGTAATGAAAACACCATCCCCTCATCTTCAGTTTGGGCTACGTAAGCCCTCTATGACCCAGCAACTTCAGCAGAAGTTACAGAAATAGCTTTACCTTCCCCTAAAATTGTGCACGTGTGAAACCCCCTCTCCTCTCTCTCCCCCCCAGACATGCACACACCACAGTCATCTACTTATTTATTTTGGCTTTTACTGGAAAAGACATTAAATAACATTTAAAATGTATTTAACTTTTTTTTTTTTTTTTTTAAACAAAGTGCACAACTTAAAAAGCTGATGATGGAAGTGTCCCATGTTAAGACTGTTCCTTTTCCTCCTCTTGTAGGAGACGCTTTAGCAATCAGTAGTTCAGGCGCCGACTGAGCAGCAGGTTTGTTTCTGCCGTCAGGTAAAAGAACAGCTTCTGTTCCTTCGGGGTGGGAGGAGGGATGGAGGCTGCAAACAAAACCTTTCCAATAGTGCAAATAATGTACAACAGAGGACAAACAGGCTGTGGAAAAAAAAGGCTCCTTACCCCACGCAGGGCAAAAGTCAGCAGGAGGGGAAAGTGGTTTGGCTCTTCCAAAGGCTGTCACAGCCACGACCTTACACATGGCTGAGGCTCCACCTCTGCCTTGTCCCCGGGCTCCAGCCCAGCCAGTCAGCCTGGGTGGCTTTGGTCACAAAGGAGGGGTCCCCGAGGCTCTCTGTCCCCGTCCCCCTTGGAGCAGAGCTAGCACACAGGCATCTACAGACTGAGCTGGTGTCAGTTCTTCAGTGGGATTATTGGGACACAGTGTCCAGACCCTACAGATCTGGGCTCCAACTTCACTGGCTGCATTTTGTGTATTTAAAACCAAAAACAATGGCTGGAGCCTGGCCGGCATGAGATGCCTCAAGCCTCCCAAAAGCCACAGTGCAGCAGGATGGCAGGATCCCTCCGTGCCCCTGCAAAGCACAGCAGGGCTGTCTGTCCCCCCAGACCTCCAAATTGCCTGGACACTGCTGAGGAGCAGCCGCTTTCCTCCAGTCTCACTGTAGTTTGATCTAGAGATGAACCTTTCTTTCCCCCTCCTCCCACCTGGCCACCAGCTGTGGTCCTCAGCAAGATGCAGGCAGTGCCCTTGGTTTGTTGGCCACCATGGGAAGGGTGAGGATGCTGAGAAGTCACTACCAGCATATGACAGCAGGCAGGAGTGCCTGGGTCAAGGACACACACAGATGCTGCTCTCAGGAGCTGTTTTCTGGAGTGGTCCTGCCTGGCACGGCCCACGGGTGCACAAACCATGCAGCAGCAGTTCACAGAGAGGAGGAGGATGGCTGGTAGCCACGTTCCTGCTCGCTCAGCAGCAGCCGCCTGTGCTTCACCTCCCAAAGACCACAGTCCTCACGCCTGGTGCTCTGTGTTATGGCAGGGAGAAGTCAGCAATCTCCTCTGCTTGACAAGGCTGCTGTAGCTCTCTCCACGCTGCGTGTTTAAGGCTTTTATTCCTCAAGGTCACCAGCTGCGAGTGTCCTCGCTCAGCCAGGAGCAGAGTCAGGCCCTGGAGGCTGGTTCCTCGCCCAGACAGCTGGTCTGCTTGGGTGCTAGAGGAGCGAGGGTGATAACTTACAGGGTGGAGGGTTACAAGTACATGTTGCCACAGGGAGTCACAGGGCTGGTGCTGTGTGTGTGTTTGAGCAGAAGTGTTTTCCCTTGATAATTTTTTCCCCCCCACCCCTACCCAAAATGGAGGAAAATCATCCTTATCTCCAGGTAGCAGCAAGTACTTGGGAAGCAGCATGCGGGACACAGCAGCAGAGGAGAGAGGAAGGCAGAGAAGATTTCCTGGTGAGTACTCGGTTGAATTGGATCTAAGAATGCAAAAGGAGAACATCAGAATAGCTACACTAGGGCAGACCAAATCCACCCAGCCTCACCCCCTGTACCCAGCAATTACCAGCATTAGGCTTTGAGGGCAAGAAAACATACGGATGCATTTTACCCCTGGTCTACCCTCAGCCAGGAATTAGCAGCAGTGGGTGAAAACAGCCCTGCAAGACCCGCAGGGCCCATGCTCTGCTTTGCTACCTGTCTGTGAGACATGTTTAGCCCAGGAGGTTTGGGGTACGGGCCACACATCTGGTCCTTCCCTTGGTGGACTGAGCTGATCGTGCACAGTTGCTGCTGCCCTTATCTTCAGCAGCAGCAGTTTATTAGCTCTCCTCGTGTCTGATAGTGCTTGTGTGCAGGATAAGGGGAAAGAAGCCAAATGTGCTGATGGGCCAAAGAAAAAACCTGACATAAACTCCTACCTTAGTCACAGCACTGTAAATAAGGAATACGATTCCCTCAAAGGGACCAGATGCCCCCTGAGGTGTCCTAGGAAGGTGTAGGCAAAGTGACTTACATCAAGCAGCCAGAAGAGCAGAGGTTGGTCACTGGCTGCCTGGCAAAGGTTGATCCAGTGTAATGCCTTGTGTCTGGTAGATCTCCTTCAGAACCAGCAGAACGGTGTCTTCTGACTCCCTGGAGGAGGAGGAGATGGGAATCAGAGGGGGACACTTCCCTCCAGTCTGTCATAGAATCACAGAATGGTTTGGGTTGGAAGGGACCTTAAAGATCATCTAGTTCCAACCCCCCTGCCATCAGCAGGGACACCTTCATCCCTGATAGTTGCAGGGTAGATGCAGCACTCAGCAAATGCAGGCAGTGCTAGGCAAGGAGATTGACACCCATCTCCTTCCTCTGTTCCTACCCCCCCTCTGTGTCTGCGTTACAGGCAGGAAAATACCTTATTTACTTAATTAAGGCTTTTCTTTTTACATTGGCTTTTAAAACGATGGCATTTTGCTGACATTGGACATGAATTTGAAGCTTTGAGGGTTATGCAGAAACTTACCAGTAGCAGAGATGCCCTTGTAGTGCAAATAAATACTCGTTAAAGCTCTCTATCGGCTTCTCCTGCAGCACGTAGTCTATGCGATTCCCTCCATTCAGCCTCCCCACATTAATGAGAGGGGCCTCTTCCTTCACTGCTGCGGGGGGGGTCTCGTCTGGCTTCGTGTCTGAAGGGATGAAGAAGAGTGATGTGGTTCACCCAAGGGGCACCAGCAGCCGTGACAATGCAGCAGCGTCCCTGTGCCCTCCCTTCACCCCGCTGCGGAGGAGCGGCAGCTGAAGTGCTCGGTCCTTCCCTCCAGGGATCTCTCTTGGAAAACATTTATTGCAAGAGACATCTAGAGAAGGGTGACAGAGTGGACTGGTGTGCCGAGTCCCCAGGAGGCTGTCACTGACCAGGCAGGTTGCCTCTTCTCCCCCTTCATCAGGCAATGACAGGGGAAGGCCACAGCATTTTCAGAGCCAAGAGCATCCGCAGCTCAAAGGCAAACCCTTTGCTGAGCACGGAAGACGGCAGCAGCGCCAGGATGGGGACCTGGCTGGCGTGGCTGCGGGGAGCCTGAGCCCACTGCTCTGTGGGCAGGGCCCGATGCTGTACCCCCACCTCCCCATGCACACACCACCAACCTGGCTGCTTCTCCACGCTGGACTCTGCCTCTGCTTCGGCGTCGGTGCTCGCTGCCTCCACGGCTGGCAGCGGGGGCCGGGGGGAG